TGATGAATAGCTTCAATTGCATCTGCAAGTAAATGTTCTTCAAGATAACATAGTGCAATTTTTCTAAACGAATAATTAATAATAATAAATAATAATAATAAATAATAATAATAAATAATAAATAATAATAATAATAAATAATAATAAATAATAAATAATTATAAATAATAAATAATAATAAATAGTAATAATAAATAATAATGATAAATTATTATTATAATGCACGATTCTGTGAACGAGAATATAAAATTTTATTACCTTTGTAAAATTGCAGCATTATGGCCATCGACTTGACCTGAAGCCATCCATTTATACGCTAACAAAAACCATTTTCTTGCGAGACCATATTTTAAATTCTATTAAGTGTTATTATGTTATGTAGTGCATTATATTATTATATGTTGCTATTATACGTTACGAGTATCGAAATATAAATAGATCATTCATCTTACTATATAATTTTGGTCTCCATTTTGCCAAAGTATCTAAAAGTCGATAAATTAAAGATAAGAGAAAGGGAGAGAAAGAAGATAGAATTAAAAGTATATATAATATAAATAAATATATATATATATATGTGTACCAGCTGGCAAGCCATCTTTGTCTTATGTCCAATTAAGATTCCGTATCGTTGTTCAACTTTAAAATAAAAATTAGCATTACATATTTCAATATTCTCATTAATAATAATATTAATAATAATAAAGGGTATAATAATAAAACATACATCCCAACGTTACTTCAATACTTCTTATAGCATCATTTAATTCAAAATTTCCTGATGATTCAATATTAACCAAGATATGAAATTTCGTGACAATCGCCTTTTCTATATAATCGATATTTCTTATGTCCGAAAGTTTTTCTTCTATTAAAATATCCATCCCTCTAAGTGCCATCATCACACTACAAATAAAAATATAGATATTATTTTCTTTATTATTATCTTTATTATTATCTTTTATTGTTATCTTTTTGAATAAAATGAATAATTTCTCATTTTTCTTACTCTATATCACCCGCTACGTGAGCGACATTTAACAACCTAATCAAGTTCAAGTTTTTATATATATAATTTTTAATAATTAATATAAGAATAATATAATTTATTATTTTAAAAATAGAAGTTTCTAGATACCCACTCACACTTTCAAATTCTCTTTTGTAATTTGAGCTGTTCGCATTAATTTTATATACACTTTTGAATATCATGAATAATTTTAATTTTTATTATTTCTTATTTCT